AGGGTATTTTTTACTTGTTTGCTTGATTTCAGTCGATTTTTTAAGTAGTCAGAGTAAAAATAAAAAAAAGCAAATTAAACACCGATTTTCTTGTTGTTGTTGTTCTTTCATAACGTAAGTTCAATTCCAACGAGTTGAATTATTATTATCAAGGATTTATATAGCGTGCGAGTTTTTTTTTTTTTTTTTTTTTTTAAAGGCATTTCTATAGTTACTTAGTATATGCTCTGCGAGAATTGTAAAAGAGAGAAACATGCATACGTGCATTAAATACTTGCATAACGTATGCTATATTTTTTTTTAAATAAATTTTCATTCTAAAAACATGCTACAATTTGCAATTAGTTTCAGTCAACTGTGTTTATTCTTTATTGCTTTTGTGACGGGGGTGGAAAGTGGAAGGGCGGCGGGGTGTTTATATCACGTGAAAAAGTTCAAAGGGATAAACAAATTGCTTTTCTATGCCAAAAGTATTTACAAATGAGTGAGCAATCATTTAAGATTGTTGATCAATATAAAGTGAACACATAAAGAAAATATTATGAATATTTATTATACATAGATTATGTGATTATTTCCTGAATTATTTACCTGAAACAAGGAACAATTAAATTTGCTGTAACAAGGCGGCTACAAACGCTAGATACTCTCTCTTTAAAGAATTCATTTTCAATTTAAAATATTACTAAAGCACTAAGAAAAGCGGTAAACTTGTCCGTCTTCCCCTAACATTCATATAAGAAGCACAACGCAATGGTAAGATCTAAGGATTGCATATTAGTGCAATTTATGGTAATTAGTAAATAAACGTTTAGCCCTGCCCACAATAAGACTATTAGGTATTAGGTAACCTTTCGTAAGGTGTCCGTTAGGTAAGGACGTTCTGCAATCATTAAGATTGAAAATATATTTTCGAAGAGATGCATAAACTTGGAAAGGTGCAATTAAGTGAATGCATATTTCATGAACTTTCAAAGTGTAATTGCCACTTTTTTTGTTGGTGCCGTCAAATCTTGCGAATGAGAGAAAAGAATACATTTGCCCACCACGCTCTAAGAGGAAATCCTCTTTCACGTAATGTATCCTAATCTGTTTTTAGCCAGGCTCGGGAAATCATTACATTATTCTGTTTTGTGCTTTCTGAAAGTAAAAGGAAAGAAGAAAAAGAAGAAGCCGAAGAAAATTGAATTCCTTTGTATGAAATATTCAACAAACTTTTTGCATTCATTAAGCGTTACTCAGGTGTTTGATTTAAAGACGCTTAAGACAAGCGCAATCGCAATGTTTCTTTTTCCTCTTCCTCTTCCTCTTCCTAATGTGGAAAACCAACCAATGACCATGAAATGAAAACAACAAAAAAAAAAAAAAAATCCAAAACAAATTTTGCATGCATTTAATATATTTACCAACATTTGCATATTAAATGTTGCATTATTAGCGTTGACATGTTATTAAAAAATATTTCCTTAAAAGCAATTATTATATAAATTGCATTCGAGTTTTCGTTATTATTTGTAAATAATAACTTTTTAGTTTTCGTTTATTGTTTAAAATATAGCAACTACGAAGAAAACACGTTCCTTTTCGCCACAAATTTATTGTCACTTTGTCTTAATTTTCTGACCTTTCGCATTGCAAGCAAAAAACTAACGACAGTTTTGGCAGCAATTTTATTATTTATTATTTTATATGTGAGTACATGCTTTTTTTCCTTCTCTTTTATCTTTTCGTACAATTGATTGCCGTTACGTGTGTATATTTCCATCCATAAAGAAGGTATATTTCTACAAAGGAAAACAAAACTCAAATATATTGTAACTAAAACTACTACCTGAGATAGTACATTCAATTATTTATTCAGTTTGTGACATGCGAAAACTCTCCGGATTGATCAGAGTGAAAGTCTAAGTGAAATTAAAAATGGAAAAACTGAACAATGTTGGCTCACTTAGAACCTTCAATTTTCTATTCTCTCCATGGAACTCTTGCTTAACATTTACAAAAAGTGATTGAGAATACAAGTGTGACTTATATATCGATCATGCTCTTATGAACATACGATCTGGAAAAATTGCGACTGATATGTGGTCGATTGAAACACATTATAAGAAATTACTTCAATTTTCTTATGATGGGCTCAATAATAGAATTTGTGTTACTAATTCGAGTTGCTTCAATACGTTAATGATTATAAATATGAACTTGTAAAACGTGTGTGTGAGATCAATTAAAGTCTTGTGAATTTAGTAGTCCAGATGCCAATCCTTACTTTTGGTTTCTTTCCGACCGTGACATCCTGACATCAAAAGGTCTTCAAGTCTATTATTTTTTTTGCGTATATTGACCTAAAGCATAGCCGAGAGGATAAGACACGCGACTGCCAAGTCAGTGATCGGAGGCTCGGAGTGGTCGATCAAATTTTTTAAGCAGCTATACACTACACGCTCAAAGAACGTGCAAAAAAAATCGTGTAAAAATATACATGCGACATATAGTAAATTTGAAGATATATTTCACAACTTTAAAAAATCATGTAACATATAAAATATTTTAAATATTTTCCCTCAACGCATGCAAAAAAAGTAATAATGAAATCCCTATAATATATATATGTATGAAACAAAAACAATTCATTCTTATTACGAAAAAAAAACTTTTAACTAAAATACAGTGAAAATTCACTCCATAAATATAACATATAAAAATGTCATTTGAAATTAGGAATAAAAATCAAACTTTGATACTTGATAAAAGACGTGGATGTTTATTACTGATTGCACCAAAAATACAATCATCAGTAGTTATGCCAGCTATGTCTAGCACTGTTGTCGGATTTGAATCAAATGAAGAATTCAAAATAATTTTTTTTTGATTTTCGGACCAGAATAAGGTCAAGTAAAAAAGGCAATGGAAAAAAAGGAGTTGAGAGTATCTCTCGTCACCTACACTTATGTCCGCTTGCGCCTAAATGTTTACTTTATTATTGTTATTATCATTAATTTCGCCAGAGAAATAAATTCTAAGATTAAAGTCTTAAACCACTAGCATCTAAGTCTCTGCGGAACTTACGATTCGAACCCATAACCATTGAGTTGCTAGTCGACATTCCTCGCCTTCGGCCACTGAGGCGAATACTGTTTACTTTAATTTTGCTATTTCGTTTCGATCGATATTCTTCGAGATAATTTCATAGTTTAAGCCTTAGACTTAAGTTCGCTGGTATAAATAGTAAGAGCTGCTGTTAAAAAAAAAAAAAAAACTATTTACTTTGAACTAAAACGGCGTACTTGAACCTTGTATACTTGGAACTCTACTTAAGCTCTTTGAATTGATGATCTTCTCTATAATACCGTAAATTAAGGCTTTAACCATCATAGTGTTGCTTAATTCGTTTGAAGATGTATACTTTAGCCATGAATCATAAAATGGATGTGATGTTGTCTGCACATTCTCGCCCAATCGAGTGTTCGAGGAGAATTATAAATAACAGATAGGCTAAAGAGGGATCAGAGCTTAAAAACAACAGAAACGGCCACTGTTTCTGGACAGAAGAGAATATTGGCAGTTAATAGATAAGAGTAGAAAGAATTACTGGCTTAAAAACATTTCGCTTAAGCGATGTGATTGTATAAGTAGTACTTCCCTCGCTTTGTTTATGCCAAATCTAGACACATCATTTACATCTGATATGTAAAGCGGTTATTGGCCTGACTCCGAATATTTTGATTAAAATAGAGAACTTGGTGTAAAATTATACCCTATTTTCCCCAACTTATTTTATTGGAATTTTTTTGACGATTTTCATTTGCAAACGCCCATTACTTAAATCCACCATTTAATCGTTTCGTTCGTATTCGAATATTTTTCTCAAAATTCTCATTCGTTTACATTCGACAGTGTTCTGTGTTACGTTAGCTGTAATCGTCCCGATAACAGAAAGAATTAAACGTTTAATAAAAACCTGATTTTAAGATGCAAAAAGTGAAGAGCGTCTTCACTTTTCAATAAATTTCAATACATTTTTTCATCTTCTTTTACGATGTAACACGCCATGTGAACTGAAGAAGGATCGTGCACATGCACGAAGATTCTTCTCTAAAAAAAAGGATGTGAGCGGAAATTTTTATAGCAAATTCAAGCAGTTGGCAGACAACGTTTTACCGAAAAATCTTTATAATTCCCTACAACTTTGCAAAAAAAAAAATAACGACACATAAAATGGTATGAGATTGATCTCCCATTTTCCCTGGCGTTGTCTTCTTTTTCTTTTTTCATGTGATCAATGTGTACGGGCAATGTTACCTATACGTGGAATGCAGTGACTGGTAGAAAGGACTAGAGTAAGAGAAAGAAATAGGGAGCGGTCACAGCCTACACAGGGTGGTGTAGTAGATGTTATACATTTCCCGACTCGAGGACACTCTATAGCAATGACCAAACATACTCTACCGCATCAGATATTTGAAGTCGTGAACATTGATTTGATCGTCGTAAATTGTTTTCAGATGATTATCGCAACGTACTTCACGTCGTTCATGAATTGCTCAAAAGGTCAAAAAGCAGCCTTTAGTGAGATGTCATATAAATAATGTTGCTAAAACTTAGTATCGAAGATTAATTCATTATAAAAACAAGTTAAATTGCAATTGTTAAATGCACATACATGTATGGAATATATGGAACCAAATCCTATGTTTATGTTAAGATATTAAGTAAATTTACAAAATTGCTAAAATTAAAAGCGAAATGGACAGATATAGAACAAATATATAAATTTATTGGATATTATAATAAGAGAGAGAGAATAACATAGAAGTGATTACTTGAAATTAAGCAGATATACACGTAGAGGTTTCCGACACTAATAACTTAACAACAAAGCATATAAACATTTCCACTCCATTAAATGACAAGAAAATGTTTATCATTAATTAATACATATATATGTAAATGTGTTTATTTACATATGTATTTGTTGATTATACTACTATCCTCTACAGAGTCTTTTTGAACTGGAATTGGCTGGTTGTAATGAGGTTACTGAGGCTGGCTTGTGGGCATGTCTGACACCTCGCATTGTCTCGTTATCTTTGGCCGATTGTATAAATATTGCCGATGAGGCTGTCGGTGCAGTGGCACAGCTTTTACCATCGTTATATGAATTTTCATTACAAGTAAGTTAATCGTTGTTTCTCTTTTTTTTTTTTGTTTTTTTTGTTTTCTTTCATTTTTAACGTATTTTATTGTTTATATTTGACTATTTCTGTAATCGTATCAATTAACATCTTTTTAGGCTTATCATGTTACTGATGCTGCTTTAGGTTACTTTTCACCAAAACAAAGTCATAGCTTAAGTATATTACGCTTACAATCATGTTGGGAATTAACCAATCATGGTATTGTTAATATTGGTAAGTGAAAAATTAATAATTTTTAATAAAGAAATGGTTTTTTTTATTTATTTATTTTTTTTCTAAATTTTCAAAATTTTAAAAAACACTTATCAAACAAATAACAAATTAAAGTTTAATTTACATTTGCATTCAGCTAGTGTAGTACATTTTGCAGCACAGTTTTTTTTAAACTACACTTATATGCGTGCATTTTCCACGTCGATGGGAAGATGTTGTGTTTAACATACAAACATGTCAGCCGTCAATGAAGACAGTTATGTATTCATACATTTGTACAGTTAGTTATGCAGACGTAACATGTTGTTTATAAATAATACTTAATGTTGCATATTTTTAGCAGTTAGCTTAAAAGAACCGCATTTTATAGCATACTTTCAAATGTTTAAAATGAAACTTCAATTCCCGTATAAATTATTCTTTCGTTTACTTGGATGAGGATAACTGTAAATAAATATTTTATGGGAAATTTAAATTGAATCCATTGTGGAGTGCCAAGCAAACAAAAGGCGAAGTATTGAAATAAAATATTTGCATATAACGGCATACAATACAATGTACATTTTCTTTCATTCTCTTCCGTTTTACATCAACGGGATTTCATCACTCAAATAGCATAAAAATAATTTGTATACAAAATATATCAACAACATTTTCTCCCTGTCTCTGTCCCCTTTTAATATATATATATATATATTTTTTATATATATATATATTTTCTCTTTACTTATACTGTGTTCGACGAACTACGAGCGAATTCCTTTTAATCACAATCATTGCATAACCTTGCATATTTCATTCATTATATACAATACATACATATTTATTTTATCAGGAATACAGCACACGAATATACATTTATTTTTTAGATTTCTTCTTATTCTTCCCTTTTACTATTATTTTTATTATTATTTTGTTTTTTTTTTCTCTTTTTTTGCATTTTACATGCAAAACAATTTCCAATGTGCAAATGCCGGGAAGTATGCAACAACCGCATTACAAATTCTTTATAGTCAGCAACAAAATGGTAATGATTTCATGTTTTCCACGTAAGAGTAAATGAAAAGCTTAGTACGAGTCGTATAGCATTTAAACACAAGCAAGGTTACCGGGGTGTTGAATTGTTTGCTGTAATTACTGTATGTAAATTGTGATATATGTAAAGTATGAAAACCAATTGCGCCTGAACGTAGGCAACGGCAAAGGAAATTTTACGTGTGAACTGAACTTTGTTCATACGTTTGCTTTGTGATTTTGATAATGCATTTATCGACTGTTGAGATTTCTTAACAGTTATATGTTAATGTTTTTGCATAAGATTTTTGAAAAATCTCTTATTTTGATAAGATTTTCAAATAAATCAAACAAGTTATATACATTTTTTGAATTAATGTACGCGTAATATTGCTTAACATGAACAGTTTCAGTAATTTAGGCCATTTCTGTCATTTTATCGGAAATCATGCAAAAAAATCAGAATGAATCTATCAAAAATTCATAATTTCAATAAAATCATGCTGAAACTCATAATCTTATCTCTCCGTTTTTGTGCCAAACGAAAAATAGGAAAATAATATGTGAGAGTGTCCGTAGCAAACAATGGCAAAGAAAGTAAAATGATTACACAAGGAACACATGTCGTCGAAATACAATTGTCGAGCTATTCAGAAACACAAATTTCTTTTTTCAGAAATAGTTTGCAACGTTTAAATATAAGCAAAACTCATACGTTTACAGTTGGAAATTAATCCATTAACGCTTTTAAATGTAAAATAGGAACCAATAAATTCAGGCGAAATCATTACAAGAAACTTGCGAAATCATGACCAGTGTGAGTGCCATATTACGTGTATCCATTCTTCTGTTCGTCAGTTGTGCGAGGAAAAACGTAACCATTGTAACATACTTTTGCTTACTAGTTTTGGCAGGATAAGTTCGAAATTCACCACCCTGGTTCCATGGGCCAGTTTACCATTCCAAAGAAAAGGAATAGAAACACTATTATGGGCCAAGGCCCACCATTAAATAATACCCTACACCACCCTATAGGTATTCATATATAACAGCTTTGAAAAAGAAATTTAATATGGGAATTGGTCGAAAAAGTGGACCAACCCAAACTATTTCCCATAGCATTCGTTCTTGGACCACAATATGTCACTGTATCAAATTTCATCCAAAATTGTAGCTTCAACAGATGAAAATAAGACGAGCAGGCAGATGGACAAGCGGACGGAAAAGCTTAAATTGATTCAGAAATGGATTCTGAATCCTGTAACATACATGATGAAATACGTAGAGTATAACAATTGCCTCATATGCTTAGTCTTCTTATCTTAATATATGTCTAATCCCTCCGACCAAGCATAATTTATAAGATATAATACATGTATAAATATACATATGATAACATGAAGGCTTGAGTAACAACAGTCTACCAAAATTAAAAAAAAAACCGCTGAAGCTTGGGAACAATTCCTCTTTATTTAAGTCTTTGTTCACCTAACCTTTAAGTCTAGAAAATTATTGAAATCCTTTGCCTTCGCTGTGACATGCTAATCATGTTAAGAATTGATGACTGCAAAAGTGGGCTGAAAAGTCTCCAACTTAAGAAAGAGAAACGATATTTGGTTTTTAAATCGATTTTGTTTTCTGTTACTGTGCAACGGAAGTCATTCAATTTCCACTTGGCAAAAAGCGGTATTTTTGCAAGTGCAACGTTTATCTTAGGGAACCAATAAAAAGCAACAGCAAATGTTAGATCTGCTGAGAGTAAGCATGGCGGTCAAACAGTCCTCACCGAAATTCGTAAATTTTCGCCATGATATCCTCTGAGGAGTGCATCCAGCTTGTTAGGTAATGACTGATGGATGACATGTTCTTGTAATCGTGTTTCCTTCTTTAAGATAATCGACATAGATAGGTCCATGAGTATCTCAGCAAACAGTCACCACTACTATCTCAGAAGTTGTTTTTCGAAGAAACAACCTTTAAGTTTCTTGGGCCCAATTCTTCTTTCGAAGGCCATTGTTTTGACTACATCCAAGTTTTGGGCGGTACCAAAAGTCTGATTTATTATGCCTAAGCAGTGCCGAGACAGAACGTAGGAAATTCTGCATCCGAAGAAGTTTTTGAGCCATTGTGAGGATGTGCAGAGCACACGAAATGTGGTCGACAAACACGGGCATTGATTATTTGGGTGACCGTGCAACACCACACCAGCTCGAATGAATGGTTATCGTAACCCCAAGTTGAGTTCGCCTAACCAAAAGCTGCCCTAAAATGGTGAATGACAGTACCGAGTCTCCGCACACAACAGCTAACTCGTCTTCCATTTGCTTAGGCATATTTCCTTGTCGAACACATATACCTAACGAAAGCTGATGGTATTCTTTTATGTTTTTCATTATCAACTCATACGATCGACAGTAACAACAATTAATTGAATGTTTGGTTGAATACTTATCGATGCTTAAATAAACATATTCCACGACTGCTGTGCTTTTCGCTTTTCAAGCCGGAGACTTCAAGTGACTTCAAGTCTTATGATATGGGTGGCATTATACGCACTTCGTGACGCACGTTGATTTTTCACGTGCTCAAAACCATGATTTTTATTGAAAGCAATTTACGTTCGTTCTCCTCTATTATAAGCGGCTTTCCCGCAAATTCATTCAACTTAAAATGAAAAAAAAAAGAGAATAGTTTTGTCAATTCAATGGAAAGGAAAGGTCATGAGCCAGGCGCACACAGTGATGGGCAACGTCGATACCTTACATGCGTTAAATAGTCCTGTCATACCACCTATGATATTATTAACCGAACGCAGTGATAATAATGGATGATATTACCGGAGATGGATTTAAAGGAATTTACAGTAATTGAAAGAGAATGTAAATAAATTACATTTAATAAAATGATATCTGACATGTTACATGTTACATACATGTCATTGTTTTCCTTTTTGGCTGATATACTATTTTGCTTTGTTCATTTTTAAATTTAGTCTTTAATGTTTATCAGCTAATTTTTCACCCTTTAGGCTATGGTCTGTTTAAAATGAAAGAACAAAAAAAAAAAAATACGAAGAAGAAGAAGAAGAAAAAGAAATCAATATTTGTGTATGATTTTGTTTATACGTTTTTTACGTTTTTTAAGAATTTTTGTTGTTTTTTTTTTTTGGTTTATTTTCTATGTTTTTGTGACTGGCTGCCTGCTTGGCTTAATGCCATTTGATAACTAAAGACAAATAACAAATGGGAAAAATCACTTTATTAGACGATGAACAATTTTTATTGTGTCACCAAATTTGGCAACGCGTACCAATCACTCGAGAAATGTAAATGTCTTTCACAAATTAAAAAACACAAAAAGTGTAAATAAAAGTAAAAAAAAAAAAAACAGAGGATACGTTACATGCGGCTTGACAGGCACAAATCCCCTCGTCTAATTATAATTCGAGATATGTTAACGGATCTGATTGCGAAATTACTCAGGTTTTTGACTTTTAAAGCAAGTAACTGTTTATCGCATGTATTCTCTTCGTCTCTTCGTCTAAAAGATCCTATATGATCCTTCATGACCTTAGATCAGATTCTTCCTCCAGAGTCGATTAGGAATAATCTTAACTCGAATTTCCGAGAAGATTGCTAGCGACTAACGGCATGTAAAATACCTTGTGCATATAAGGAACATAGAATCGAACTGATTTCCTTAGAGGCATTTATCTTTCAAGAAATCCGAAGATCCAATATGCATTTTTTAATTAGTTTAAGTAAAGGAAACTAAAATTTTAATTAGCTGAACTTAATATTAAAAAGAAGAAAATTATTGTAGTGACCCAGGGATCACCATTAAATGCTCTACACCACCCTCCGGTTACTCAGATAACTACTTATTAAAACAGAGAGTTATATGGCAAGTGATTGAAAAAGTCGGTCCGGTCTGAATCATTTTCAATAGCGTTCGTCCTTGGGCCCAACAGGATTGAACACAAGTAT